TTTATTTTTTTATTTATTTCTTTTTTTTATAGACCTCTGCAAAAGTTCAATAAACAAAGAGATACATTTGTAAAGTTCTTTTACCTTATGTGAATTTGCGTGATTGACAACTCATAAGCAACTTTGATGATCTGACTCACACACACACACGAACAAAGAGATAAGCACAGACTTACACATATCTATACAGGCATCGAAGTTGCACAGATTTGTGTGTTTCCTTGGCGTTTTGTGGTTTTTGGTGTGCGTGCTGAATGATTGATGCGCTGCCTGGGCAAGCCGACTCAAAGCTGCATTGGAACTGCAACTAAGCTACACTTGGCGTGATGTTCAAGCCACACAGAATGCCCGTTGGGGGCAATGGCAGTGGCAATGGCAGTGGCAGTAGCTACAGTGGTGCCTACACAGAAGCCAAATTGCATCGATACCTGTGAATTGAGAATTGGCTAGCTGCCGGCGTAATCCGAAGTCGAGTCGAGCTAAAAAGCAATTACCAGTTGCCTACCTGTCTTCCATAGAACATAAATCCGCACAGTTAAAGATCGGCAAATGCTTTAAATAATGTACCAAATGGCTAACAAGTTCTCTTTCTAACGGTTAACCAATAATATGAGCTACACACACACACACTCTGCCACTTATATATGTATGTGCATATCAATGTATTCCGTACATACATACATCAAATTGTGAAAGGCAAATCATGAATGAACTGACGACGATGAAAGCTGAGGATGACGCTCGAGTGCTTTTATGGCAGAGATCCAGAGCAAACGCAAACAATCGAACAGGAATAATTTACTATGTAAATAAGACGTGAGTCGAAGCTGGAGTTGGAGCTGGAGCTGGAGCTGTAGCTGGAGTCAGAGTCGGAGTCGGGGCTCGAGAGTAGCGTGCGCCCTCGCGCCATCGAGTGGCACTTCAACAATCAAGCATTCACACAAGCAGATGGTTCGCAGCCGCCAGCGACCACCTAAACGAAATTTCATTTACTTTTCGCCTGTCATCACGGCGCAATCGCAATCGCTGCTGTTGCTGCTGACTCGCCCGAATGTAGATATCTATATAGATAGGTACATATAATAAATACATGTATCTCTCTACATATATATATGTGTGTGTGTGCATATGCACAACGAACACTCGCTTTATTGAGTGTTTGTTTACCTAATTCGATTACCGATCGCGTCCGTTCGCCATAATCCACAAAACACTTGACCATTTGGGTGGCACATATATGAAAACACACACACACAATATGCAGATCGTCGTGCTTCTCGAGCAAGCAATCATTGCCGAGTAATAAGGTTGCTGACTTAATTCAAGCGCTCGAAAGTGGATGCCTTCCACTGGAAAGGCGTGCTTTGCAAGCAGATGGAGGGATTCCTCTTGTATCTTAATGCAATTAAACGGAAAATTGAAACAGCTGTGCATCTCGATATTTTTTTGTGAATTATTCATCAATACGCTTTTTTGCTGTCAAAGCAATTATCATTAAACTTAAGGCGCAGTTCTCAATTAAAAATTCAATTTGCATCAATTTCACTCTTACTTTTTTTAATTGAAATCAGTTTTAATCGTAAGATAATAGCTGATGAAGAAAGCTAAAAATGAAGCGGGGTTCATTTAATTCAATTATGTTAATATGATAATAAAATATGTATGTATTAGAAGCTATTTGAGCATATTCAATTTTTTTATCTAGGTAAAAAGTCTTTATCTGCAACATTTAACTACTTCATACAATAGCACCTCTTTCAAATTCCTTTAAATTTAAAATGATTTCATATCATTAGACATTGCACCTGCTACAAAACACCTGTTTGAATATAATTAAGTCCGTTCATTTTCAATTTCAAATGGGCGCCAACTTACATTCACACTCCCATCCCTAAAAGTGAACGAAACTATCGTTTAACGAAAACATCGATAGCATTATTTGACGTGACAATCAAAAAACAATAATATCGATAGTCGAATATCATCAACATTAGAGTCAGCCCAGAACTACTAAAAAATTTTGTATTGTTGGAAAAATTAAATATATATAATGCGCACAGTGCTTTTGAGCAAATCCGATGAGCTCTATCTGGAAAAGTGCGCTCAGGAGCACAGTTTCTCGTACGGAATTATCATTGGTCACGTAAGTACAAGAAAGCGCCTGCTGCTCTGGCCGTCGCCACGTAGGTTTATTTTGTTGACAGCATGCCTTTATATACATATGTCTGTTTGACCGCTCCCTAATTTGCAGCAAGCAGATGTCAGCAAGAGCATTGTTGTTCACCTGGCCCGCAACAGCGAGGAAGATGCCGACCTGGAAGATCTGACCGACGTGCGATTAACCATACGCGACATCAACTCACAGGCCTTGGCGTCCCAATGGCTTAGCGCCAGTAAAATGTGTCCCGGATCCTTCGACGTCATAGGTAGGCAGTGGTGTTAGTATTTATAATATATTCAATTAATCATATATTCTTTTTAATTTCAGGCATATTCATCGCTTCTGTGCGTCCGGATGTGGCGAATGAGCGCAGCGAGGAGTTTAAAAATGCCAAAAAAGTGTTTTCTGACGTCTACGAGTGAGTGCCTGGACTAACTAAATAAAAGTCTATTTTAATGTGAATCTCTCTCTACGTATCCCTTCAGCTTGTTACTTAAGACCAACAACTCCTTTGGAGTCTACACCACAGACATGGCACAAACGGACTTTGTATTCCTTTCCTACTCTTTGGCCGACAAAACTCTGCTCTGCAAAAACTATACCTATGGAAAGTAAGTGAGAATATAAATCCATATCTATGGATCTGTATGTATATATAGAGATCTAATCGGGTTAGGTTGTCACTGAACTTCCACTGTTGACTTATGTATCTTTTCTTTATCAATTACTTGTTGGCCACCCGCTTAACATAGACATTGCAAAAAAACGTATTTTACGGCAAACATTAAATGCATTATATGGTAAATAACAAATGTTGAAACTCAAGTACTTACACAACTCATTTGAATGTTTTTTCGGCCATTTTGGCCTATATTTTTCGTATATATATATTAGTTAATTTTGGTAGCTGTACGACTTTTTTATGGATTGCATTTTACGTGTTTCGGTTTATCTCTAAATACATATGTATGTTGTATATTTGTAGAGCTTTGCGCGTAGTGCCCTGAACTACTTTACTCATATATGCAAATATTTCTGTTCCCCCTCTAGCGGCGGCACATTTTCGAACATGGACTTTCGCTTTGTTGAGAAACCGTTCGAGTGGATTCAGTTTGAGTGCAATTACGACTTGGATGATGTCATACCCATTGTGGACACCACGAGGCGCATTAACATTGAAGAACAGTTTCAAAACATTATATCGACGATTCGCAAATATCTGATCGCCAGCGAGGTATTCCTGCAGAACGAACTAATCGACGACACAATGGATTTGCAGACGTTCATCAAAAAGAAAAAGCTGAAGGATGATAAGCTTAAGACAAATTCGACCACTTCAGCAGGAGGTGCAGCCAACCCATCGGCTTCTTCGGCTGCATCTTCAATGCATTTACTATCGCCCATTGATAGTTCCAGCGGTGGCGTCATCAGGGCCAACATCATAATGCCCGTCAAATGTCAGCTGGACAATCCAATGGATATAAAGGTGCGAGAGTTCAGTGGGACTTTGCGCATGAGCGGCATGATCTTCTCACGAGTCTATTGCAACCCACGAAACAGTATAGCAGACGTGAAGCGTTACTTGCGAGACGATGTGCTGCGCTCGTTGATCACACGCATCCAGGTCTACTGCGATGGTCTGACCGATCCACACGTTAGCAACGAGGCGGTTTACATAAGCGAGCCGCCGAGACGCGTGTTCTTCGCCATACCCTCGGATGGTAGCAGTACGTCGGGCAACGCGGTGCAGTTCTCTGAATACTTGTTCCGCGGTGAAGCGCCCACTGTGGTCGTAGCTCAGGCCAAGCAGGTTCTTGATGTCGAGCTGGATCCGGAGACAATTTACCTGGACGCTGAGGGGTTGCCAGATGATGTGAATTTTAATTCGATGCAAACAGACACAGAAGGAGAGGAGAGCCGCAGGCTGACCAGCACAATGCCAAAGCGGGAATTGTCTCGTAGTCTCTATATGGTAGGCATTGCGGTGGCTCTCCTGGTGCTGCTTGCCTCGGTGGCTCTCCATTACACAATGAACGGATAATAGTGCAAGCAGCTGAAAGCTGGCTATTGGTTGAATGTTCGACTAACCATTACACCACACGAAAACACACAGCCCAATCCATTTTGATATGGCGCAACATAAATCTTGTGATGGTTTTTTTTATTATTATATTATAAACCAAGGTGTACTCTTACTTTTAGTAGAAGAAGTGTAAAAATGTCCCGTTATATAGTTATATTATTAAAGCCTGGACGGGCAGCATTTAATACTAATGTAATAAACTAAACTAATGCAGAACAAACCTTGTACAGGGTATTGCAATACGTGAGGCGTATCGATTCAATATCTAAATCTGATTTAAGGTTCGTCAAAATTTGTTAATTTCATTCGAATCAATATATAGACGTATATCTGGCATGCCAGATTGCAGATTGCAATTTGTTTATATATATTCAATGTAAACCCGATAACAAACAGCAAACATTTCGTTGCTGTAAACAAGCGCGTGCATTGCTTATGAAATATATTCGAAAAGAATTTCTCTGTTTACTAACGATCTAAACAGAATTCACAATCTGCATTCGGATATTAGGTTCAATTCTGTTGCTCATAGTTGACTCACATTAAGCTATGCTTTGTTTATAGTAGAGATAATAAATAAACTACGTTTAGTTAGAGAAAAGAAAACATTATTCAAACGCTACTTAGAAGAGTGCCTATTTGTATTTACAGAATGAGTGGGCCCAGCTGTTGGGCTTAAAAGTAAACAAGTATCTCACAGCCTCTGAAACATAACGACTTACGGGCTAAATAAATATAACTACTATATATATCCCTCCAATCTAGTGCAACTTGCAGTTGCCATTGCAGTTGACCACCGACCAGACCCAATCCACGTAGTTGGGCACCTTGGCGTAGATGCCGAATTTGTTGCGCTTGGCGCAGCCATCGCCAAACGAAGTGATGCCAAAGATGGTCCAGGGATGATTCGGTTTGGTAGAGTCGCGACACAGCAGCGGACCGCCCGAGTCACCTGCACAGGTGTCGATGCGACCACGGCGATGACCGGCACAGAACATGTTCTAAAAGGACTCCCAGTTGTAGTAGAACTAATAAAGGATCTCAATCTGCTAAACTCACCTTTGTTATGGTGTAGTCGTGATAGACACTGCGACAGTTCTCCATGGGTATAATGGGCACATCTGCTTGGTGCAGCACACTGGTGCCCACCACGTCGCGGTTGCGTCTCTTGCCCCAGCCAATGACCGTGCAGTCCACGTTCTTGGGCAGCGGCTGAAAAGGACGCGGCAGGCAGGAGAAGCCAATCCAGCTGGTGGCATTAACGGGCCTGGGCAGACTGCCAATGATTGAAATCAAATAAATACATTTCTTTAGAAATCCTTGCAGTTGCTTACCGTAACAGAGCCACATCGCTGTCCACGGTACGCTTGTCAAAGCTCGGATGCTTGTAGCTCTTGAGCACTCGCAGCTGCACCTCGGTGCCATCCTCATAGTCCAGATTGTGCTCCCCAAAGCGCACGTAGAGCACCTTGCGCACACAGTGGGCGGCGGTCAGGACCCAGAGCGGCGCGATCAAGGTGCCGCCGCAAAAGGCCTCCTTGAACCGATTGAAGATTGCCACCTGCCAGGGCCACTCGCCCTTGCGTGCCGCCTTGCCGCCAATGATTTTCAGCAGGTTGTACATGTTGCGGTGGCCAGTACGCACCAAGCCACATTGCAGCTTCAGAGGAGTGTACTCCGGTCCCCGGTAGCCCCTGCCGCTCATAATGACACTAACATCGTTTCGACCCAGTGCTCCGGAGCCAGGCTCCGTGTGCATGCGCCGCATGGCTGTCGCTGCACCAGGTCGGGACTCATAGGCGGGCATCTTCTGGACTTGGGCCTGCAGCCACTGCTGGCAGAAGCTGTTCTCCGTGTAGCAGTAGGCGATCTCCCGCAGCACCTCCCGACCGCACTGCTCGCTGATGCGGCACTTTCTGCAAACGATTTCAGGTTAGATGCAAACCAAAAGGAGAGGCTGACAACACTCACTTATAGCGCCTCGTGGTACACTTTGGCGAGCACTTGGTCCAGCGACTCCATTTGGAGTAGACACGTCTATGACGTGGCATTAGTCCTTCTGGCGTGTTCCGCTCCTTTCCAGACGGTAGCCAGCTAATGTTTCGCGCATCTGTAAACTCTTCCGAGTCTGGGTATTGAGCCTCCGGCTCGAAATCAAAATCCTCATACTGGAATATATCGCCCTCCAGTCCACCATTTTCAACACTACCCAAGGATCGCTGTCCAGTATTTAACGATTTGCCTTCTAGGTAATCCTCAAAGTCGTCATCAATATCATCGAATCTGGGCTTTTGTCGATGCCTCTGCCTGGAATCGTCCTCAGTGTAGTCGACTCTGGGCCTTTGTCTATGTCTCTGCCTGGAGTAGTCATCAATGTAAACGAGTCTTGGCTTTTGCCTGTTCCTCTGCCTGGAATTGTGCTCCGAGCTATGCCGCGAGCTGTGCCTTGGCTTCTGTCTGCGTCGGTGTCGCTTCAGCACAAAAAAGTCGCCCTCATCGTCTTGGAAAGGCGGCTGCGCTTCATCTTCCTCCTCTTGCTCCTCTGTGCTGGATTCAATTGATGGCCAATTCGGTGGCTTTCGATGCACTACCTCAACAGACTCCTCACCCGAAGTGGGATAGGGATCGGGTAGGGGTTGTCGAGGGGGATGCCGAGGAGGGTGTGGATCGGGATGAGGCTGGGGATGTGGCTCGAAATACGACGGGGGCTGTGGCTGCGGGTGTGGTTCATGCTGTGGTGGGGCATATGTGGCAGTCGGGTGTGGCTGATAGGATAATCCACCCGATGCAGCTGCTGCAGCATTTATAATAATTGGTGGCGGATTGGGATAATGTGGTGGAAAATTGGGCTGCGGCACATTGCTTGTTGAATGCCATTTAACTGCCGGATGACAACTGCAAGACAACATAAGTACGAGCAATAAATTTCATTCACTTTTACTCTCCATCAGCCTCAATTAGCACTCACTGCAAGCACTTGTGCTGCTCCACGTGCTTCGTGTGTCCACATTTGCGCTTGGCCTTGCAGAAGCGTTCGCGTCGCCTGATGCAATCCTCGTCGCACGTTGTCCACTGCGACCAGCGGCTGAAGGGATGATGATGATTGATCGAGCGCCGTCGGCCAGTCCATCTCTGATGGGCGTGTGGCATGCGCAGCCTGTGCACCCGATGCCCACTGTGCCAATGGCTGCCCTGGTAGCTGGGATGGCCCAAGACGTCGCGCAACTCGGCGCGTAGGTGACGCTTCGCCTCCTGCACGTGTCCACTCTGTCAAGAAACGAATGGACAAAGACAAATTAGCGAAAGCCGGCTCCAGAATCAAACATCGAAAAGAGTCGCCAACATTTCAATTTGTCTGCCAACGCTCTCTGCACCACACACATACACACACATACACTTTTATCACCGTGGATAAATCAGAGCGTAAAAATACATATGTGTGTGTGATGCAGGGGCTGCATTACGTTTGAGATGTCATTGCTCTCGTCTGCTCAGACTGTTGCAGTTATGCTTCCAGCCTGAAGACATTCCCCACTGCCTCATCGCTAAAAATAACAGCAATTTCACTTTGCCAGCGTCGGCTGGCATATCCCTTCTTCCTGTCTCGTTCCTATCCAAAATAGGTTTAGACGCCTCCACCACCAGCACCACCACCCGCACCATCATTGAAATTGGCTCAGCCGTTACTGCTGCGGTAGATCGCTTCTACATATATACAAATCTTCTACAAGAACTCGTTTAATTGGCCAGTCTACATGGATATCGAGTGCTCTACAAGGCAAGGCTGCACCTGGAATTCCATTTGAGTGTCGCCTATAAGTAAGCCCTAGCTAAGACATATTCAGCCCGATTCCAGTCCCATTCTGTGGCGCTTAAATAACTTTCTAACTGTAACACTAACAAGAGCAATCAAGCGGAAATGCGAACTATTCGGAATATCATTCAAGGGTATACGTGTACGTTTACCGTTACGTTTCTCGGGGTCATGTCAACTACTTAATATATCAATGACTGCGGAAAAAGGTCACAATGGTCTGGCTTTATTTGGCCATAGATAATTGTTGCTTAAACAGATTTGTTAATTATTCACAGTCGCAGTCAATCGACAAATTGTCGAGGGAATTGTTGTCGATTGACATCATTATGTGTGTGTGAGTGTGCATTTGTATGTCAAGTGGGATAGGCCAATCATTGATTTATATGTACATACATATCATTTATAAAATCAAACCCACCTGACAGGGAGCCAGCAGTTGCAGCAGCGCCAGCCATTTGATGAAGCTGCAAATTAAACGCATTCCCGCAGATTAATGGTATTCCAGCTGTGAATAGAAGAGATAAATATTGAATTATATAAAGGTTAAGTCATGCTTAATTAAAAATTTAAACTAATTTCCCCAACTGCACTAAGGATTGGGCAATAGACTATATTCGCAATGAGCTATTCGCAATGATCTATTTGTAGATCTAACGCAGTCAGATATGAAATTCGCCAATGCTCTTTAGAGGCAATTAACTCGTTTAATTTGGCTCAACTAATCGACTCATTTGCGCACAAAGTACATCAACAGAAGCAGAGACAATCGTCGCTCTACGCACAATGCAACAATTCCGAAATGTTTTATTTTATTTTCTGATTTTTCTGATTTTTTCCGTATATATTATTTTGTTTTGTAGCGCAGATTGACGCAACTACAAAGCAAAAAGATTTGAACTTGCAAGAGACCTTAGGAAGCGGCTATCAAACGCGTGGGCAGCAGATGAAATGAAGATGAAATAAAAGTGAAATTAATTAGCTACATGTTCATGTACATGTAATTACAAGCAGACAGACAACAAAAATTAAAAACACATATATTCATTATTTATAAAGAAAAAAAAAAAACATCAGAGAAAAAAAAACATTCCCGGACCTGAGCACAAAGTTCGCCATTAAAATCAACTTTGAGTTACACAGAGGAATTTAAAGTGGCAACAGAAGCACTTGGTAAATGCCAAAAAAAAAAAAAAAAAAAAAACAATGTATATTTGTTGTTTTTTATAAAAGCAAGTACAATCGATCTTACGTCAATAGTGAATACTGACTACTGAATGCCGAATGTTGACCAAATTCAGATTCAGATTCAGCTTCAGTTTCAGATGCCCCTGCTCAATCAGATCTTGCCTGCACATGCATTCATATACTTGATCTCAATCTTGGCTGCTCGCGTATATGG